ATATATATATATATATATATATATATTTATATTTAAACAAATATATATGTTTATGTGTAAACATATATACATATATTGTATACAAACATGTATACATATATATATTTGTATACAAGTTAATAATGATACGTTGAAAATTTTTATAGTGGTATAACGCTAATTAACGTAAAATCTTAAGTTGAGCAAGTCACTTTTGAAAAGCAATTTTTTATCATTATGCAATATTTATTGAACAATACGGTAACTAGTTTATCTCTTCATTGAATTTGATAAACTGCCGTATATACTATACAGCTCCTATTATAAAGGTGTAGCCAGAATAAAAGGAATAAGGAATTAGGAATAAAGAATAACTATTTTAATCTATCAGAAATTGAATACATATGAATTGACGGTTTCTGATAGCTCGAAATCGCTGTTCTTTATTCTTAATTCCTTATTCTTTCCAATGAGACTACACCCTAATATATATAACAAATCATTAATATTTATTTATTTGTAAATTTCATTTTCAGTTCGTCGAGGCGGTGGACGTTCCAGAGGCCTCTGGTATGTGCGGAGGACAATGACAAGCCTTCAGAATGAAATAGGAGCAGATAGGGGATGTAGAAGAGGAAGAGGAAGAGGAGGTAGAGGCATACAATATAATGCCAAAACAATAAATATTAAAAATGTATATAATTATGAATAAATAAATAAATAAAATTATAATAAAGTGCTTTCATTAAAAATATTTTCCTTAAATGTTTTTATATATTATACATATTAAAAAGAAAAACTTCATAAAAACACGACGCAGTAATCAGAGCGCAATTCAAATTGTACTGTAAAATTGTATATGTAAAACTTTAACATAATATTTGAAGAGGTGGGCATATTCAGCAATAAACAAAATATCCATATTGAAATTTTCGAATATTACATTAAAGTTTATTACAATACGAATGTTGCGCTCCGATTACTGCACCATATTCTCATAAGTCTTTCTTTCTTTACTATATTTATAGAATTGTAGAAAAATATATAGAAAAATATTGTACTAACAAATTTTACATTGATGTAAAGGAATTTGTAGATCGATAGTAAGATCCTATGCATAACGGAAGAAATATCAAGAATGAATATGACACATTACGAATAAGAGAATTATGAATAGAGATTAAACGTAACTCATAATGGATACAAATGATTGAGATGTGGGACACAAAGAATATGTAACGTTTAACCTGTGTTCATAATATTTTATTTCTAATATTTAATGTTTAATCCTATTCTTAATATTTCTTCCACTGTGCAATATATTTTCCATTAAGTTGAGAACTTACAGTCGCGCGTCGAATCGAATGTGAGGAGAATAATCGACTGATTGGTCTATTTCTTATGGCTTAGGGTTTAAAGCTTAAGTTCTACGAGTTAAATTCTCGTTGTAGACGCTTTATATTGCGTTGTTAAATCTGAAACGTAATTAATCCGTTACACACATTCCATAAAAATTACATCAATAATAAACCAAAAGTCAGATGCTAGAAATTCACCAATCACCCTCGAATGTGAAAATAATAATCGACTATAACTGATCGATTTCTAGCTTCTGACTTTTGATTTATTACTAATGTACTTATTGTAGACGTTAGCGTTCAAACTTTGCTTTTTTCTTTTTTTCATAGTTTCATCATAAATAAATAATTAAGTTAATTAGTGGTAAACGTATCGGCTGAAATTATATTTTGACACACTGAGAAAAAAAGTCTGGTTGGATTAAACAGTAACTCTGGTGGAAAATGGACGAATCACAATTTTCTGGTTATGTCTATTAGAATTCTAATTGAGATAACTAGAATTCTGATTAATATAATTATTCTGGTAAAAATAAGAATTCTAGTAGATTTTACTAGAAATATAGTATCAACCAGAATTCCGGTTATCTCAACTAGAATTCTAATAAATTTAACCAGAAATTTCTGATTCGTTCATTTTCGATCAGAAATTTTTTTCAGTGCATAATTATTAAAATTATTCGTTTATAGCAACAGTAAAAAAAATGATTCAACATGCATGGTATGCGAATCAAACTTATTCGATGAAAGATCGGGATCTATAAAAGCAAATGAAATTTGTTTTCAAATTTGGTGTCATCTTTACATATATAATTATATCTAAGGTGACACCAATATAAATTTATTATGTACAAATAAAAGTCTTTATATTATGTTGTGTTAAAATAACTTTTGTTAATCTATTGAAAAGCGAATCGGTATTTTTCCTACAGTTTTGTTGGTTTAAAAATACATAAGCAAATAATTTTAATAATTAATACGAAAAAAAAAATTTTTTTTTTTTGCCTTATACGTTTACTCTTGCAGATCACGTTTATGAACACGGTATATAGCGCCCATGGACAATTATTAATAATTAATATCTCGTAAAGTATCGCGTTTTAACGTAATTTATACTATTCTAGGTTAATAAGAAAAATATACTATTATTACAATTTATTAAAAATTATGTGTTATGCAAAATCACTTTGCTCCTCATCGATACACGCCGATTGCCGAGCGGCCGAAATTGTCGAGAAAACCTTTTCGGTCGCTTGGAATAAGCGCGGTACGCGGAAGATAAGTTAGAGATAGTCGATACTCTCCTACCTTATACCGCCTGGATTCTCTTTTTATCTTGTACCGCCCGACTTTAACCGAGCGCGGTGCGTCATAGCTATAGCTATCGGCGGCTACCCCCACCACGCGCTACGAAGTGGTTGCTCAAGCCAGAATCTGGCAGCCCTGATTCGAATGCGTTTTTGATCCAGAGTGAGCAAGCGTGGCACCCAATGCGCGGTTAACTTGCGCATGCCTAATTCTTCAGTCAATATATGACAAACACGTTCTTTTATTATGCCAACAGCCTCTGCTATCTCCCTAATCTTAATTCGACGGTTGTCCATTATCATTTGATGAATTTCTTCGATGTTGTGGTGGTCGCAGTTGTTGGCCGTCCCGAACGCTCATCATCAGCTAAGCTGGTACTGCAGCCGGAAGGGAACCTTCACCTGCCACTCCGGATTCGACCGCGACATCGCGCACAAGCGGGATACCAAGCCCCGCAGTGACACACATAGCCAGTAAGTTGCGTTAATATAAAATAATAAAAACACAAAAAAAAATAATTAAATACATAGTAAATTCATAAATAGATATATAAGCATTAGTGATAAATTCGTTTGACACCGCAACAATAGCGGAAACCCGCATAAGGGGTATATTCAATCACGATTAGAATTTAGTTCTCCTTTAGTTCAGGGGATGCTGGAATGACGGTCGAAGTTAATCAAGGTCGATAGTACAGCCCCCGTGCGTGGAGGGCCTTGTTGTGGCACGGGGGCTCACCCGGGGCTCTCTCTGAGAG